GAGTTTCTTCGTGATATAGTCTTGGCTGTCCTAGAACTTATTCTGTAAACCAGGCTGGCCTCGAACGCTAAGAGTTCTGCCTTTGCCTCCTGAGTGTTTGGATTAAAGGCTTGCACTACCACTGCCTGGCTGTAGCCAAGTCTTTATGTGATATGCTGTCCTTTTTAAATAGTTTATGTGCATACTCCCTGTTTCTTAGAGACAGTTGTAGCTTTGAGGAAACTCTGAAGGAGTGTTTATAGTCTATTTGTTTTTATAATTCAGTGTAGTTAAGTATTCTGCAAATAGATACTTGAGGAATTAAGAGTAAGGAGCTGGGGACCAAAGTTTAGACCTTTACTACCAATTTAAATGTACAGTAGGCCTGATAGTCTACCAGTAATTCTAGCACTAGGAAGCTGGAGATGGCATCCTCAGAGAAAGTTGTCTAGGAGACTAGAATTGGTGAGCTCTGGTTTCAACTAAATATCCTGCCTCAATGAACAGGGTGGTAAATCTTGGGCTTCCACATGTATACATATGTACCCCTACCCAATGTATACTCCCCACATACCTACATATACGGATACCACATGCATAGGACATTAAAAAACAAAGGAATAAGTAAAAGGCAGACTCCATTCTGAGAAGAGTATTAGTTAGAAGGCAACATATTATTAACCTTTGGGCAACAGAGTTGCTTGCATTCTCAAAACAGAATGATCTTTTCTATACTGGAGAAAAATTAGTTTGTTTTTATTTTTTCAGTCTAAGTTATGCTGATTCTCTCACTTTTTCAAAAATCTTATAAGGTTCACATGTAACTTAAGGGAAAATATTAATATTAGAAATTTGGGATCCTCAATGATACTGGTTAATTAGTTTTGAAGGTTTCTTTGATACTTAAAATGTTCCAGATTGCTTTATATGTTTTTTTCCTAAGAAATTTGGGCTATATTTTACTGAATTCTGTGAAGTTACATTTAGGAAGAACATTTAGGGTTTTTTTTTTCATTTTTCCAAGTTCAATTCAATTAACATTCTTTTTTTCCAGATAGACTATTTCAGAGGTTTTAACTTTTTTCCTACCAAGGGTTCCACAGACTGTTTTAGCTCAGAATAGGAAGTGATAGAGACCTCCTGAGTGGTCTGAACATTTTTATTTAAAACAGAGCAGCCTAAGGCTGGGAGTGGTGACACATGCCTTTAATCCTAGCACTCAGGAGGCATAGGCAAGTGGATCTCTGTGAGTTCAAGACCAGTCTGATCTACTTGGTAAGTTCCAGAACAACCAGGGCTCAATAGAGAGATCCTGGCTCAACAAACAAGCAAACAAACAAACAAGCAAACACCAAAACAAAATGAAAAGCATCCTATCATTTGCATAATACTTTTTTTCCTGGAAAAAAAAACGTATCAAATTCATGGTTGAAAGTGGTAACACAGACTGGGAACAGTATTAAAACTCTTTCAAAGAACTAGTGAATATTACTCTCTTTTCAAGGCCTCTTATAGTAAATATTTCATAATTTTTCTACCTCCATTCTTCTCTTTGTTTCTTCTCTTATTTTCATCCCTTCCACTTTCCCCCTTCTTTTCCTTTCTTTTGGCGTTTTGAGTTAGGGTGTATTATAACCCAGGTTGCCCTTGAACTCATTATCCCCCTGCCTCAGCTTTTTGAGTGTGCAGATAACAGTCATGTACCACCATGCCTGGCCTCTCTTAGCTGTCAGAATCTGAGGAGTTGTCTGATCATGAGACTTTTATCTGACAATAAAGATGAGATTCCCAGGTCTTATTCAATTTCCTTTCCTATTCCTTTCTACTTACATTCCATAACTATAATTATAATAATCACCAGAGGTGCAGCATCCAAGATCCATCAAAAACAATTTGATTTTGGAAAGGAATTTTTGGGAATATTGCTCTAGAAAGATTGTCTTTATTTCTGCGTTTTAGAGTTAGGAAACGACCTTATCCAAAAACAACAGTTGAAAATACAAGTCACGAGGATAGGGAATTAGTTACTACATAGAGTAGAAGGAAAAATGGCTGAGACCAAACATGAGACCCATTTTTGGCTTCACTAAGAACCGTTTTAGATGCATCAAAGACTAGAACCAGAGAAGTCATTGGATGCAGAAGGCATTCTAAGAGCTGGGCAGACCCTAGTGCTAGAATGTCTTAGATGATGTTGTAAGGACACACAGGTTGTAGGCAGGTATCTGTCATTGGTAAAAGTGTCCTTAGGCACTAATCTAGGTTTTAAGATTAGTTCTAAGCTCAGAGAATGAAAAGATCAGGATAGGGTTTCTCTAGAGTCAGTGGATGCATTAGTGACTTATTGGAGTAGGTATACCTTTAAGGAATATAGAACAAAATTCTCACCATTTGAACATAAGGCAATTCTGGATGTTATAAGAAAAATATAATACATAGAGGGTTGCATTCCTTCAGAATGACGTAGGAGATGAGTGGTAAGTACCAGAATTCCATGTCATGGATCATCAAACTGAAAAGTGAAGATATCCACTAGAAAACAGAGAGAGAGAGGGATCAAGCCCAATTCAGACAAAGCAAGGCTGGGATTGAAAGAGCTAAGAGAAGTTAGGTGTATATACTAGGTCTTCTGGCACAACAGATAATGGTCATAGTTTCTTGAACCTCAAGATGGGAACTAAGGAAATCTATTAGTTGTTTAAATTTGGCAGAAAAAATAATTTACCCTCTACGAAATGTAGCCTAGTAATCTTTGACAAAGACTATAAATAGAGAAGGGAGCTATTATAAACATAGTTAGATAATTCTTTTTCTTAAGTAAACTTCTGATAGTCTTGTCACAATCCTTATAATTTATTTTAGAATACTCATGTACTAGGTTGATGTATAGAGAGATTTGCTCCATCCGTTGGTTATTGAGAAAGTTGGGGTTTTAAACCTACAAAATCTTGACAACAGCTAAAAGATGTTTAAAGAATTGCAAAATAAAACAATGTGGCTTTGAATTCTATTTCCAGGCAACAGCCCTTTGTACAAACACCTTCGTTTTCATTTATCAACAGTGAAAATTTGGGTGGCACAAATAATTCAAAGGTTGACTATGTCGATTTGAAAGATGAATCCTAAAGATACCTCTGTGGACTGGAATATAGACATTATAGCTTTTCAAAATTAGAAGACTTCAAAAGTCATCTAAGTTAAATCGCTTCTTTTTACAATGGAAAAGAATGAGTTTTTTTTTAAAAGCCATGGCTTGCTTATTATTAGGGCATGAATAGCTAGCTGGTTGGAACCTAACTCAAGAAACAGCATAAAGTTCATTACTGTTTTCATTACTATGTCTATTTATCTCAGATGACAAGATCAGATTTAAAAATAACAATACAGTAATTTTAATATAAAAACACCTAAAATGGGTATTTTAGTAATGTTGATATTTGTTTTGTCATGCCCTTCTATACAAGCTCTAAATATATAGGCTGTTTACAATTTATCTTCAATTGATTGTATATGTGATTTCTATGTGCAGGATTTAAAACACATATTTGTTGATTTTAGCTAAAATGAGCCCCTCTTACATCTATCTAGCAGGGAAAAAACCTAATGATTTTTGTCATGTAGGGTATTTGGGTAACTATTAGTACACTCTATTAAATATTCCTTTATTCAATACATAGAAAAGCCAAGGAAATTCTGGTCTTTCCACACATTTGTCAAATTCTTGTGTTACTCCATGATTTCTATTATGTGTGTGAACTATGACCATATATGAAAATGGTCTGCTTTGGGTCATGACTGTGGGCTGGGAGTAATTGGTGAAAAATAGGCCTGTTTGTGTAATTTACCACACAGTAAGGTTTCTCATCTCCTTGGAAAAATGTAGAATTATCTTTTTGAGAAAAGCAGGCCTGTCATGAGGTTGAAGGGAGAGTTTCAGTGGAGGGAAACAGTTCACACTCTATAAGGCAGCTGTGAGTGGTTGGGTTCTGTCCCTTTGGTTCAGCAAAATTCTTTTCTCCCACTTTTAAGTGGCTCTTTCCTGACGTTTTTCTCAGTTTTGTCTTTCTTAATGTCACCAATTTCACCAGTCCTTCACAGAAGGCATCTTATTTGGCTTCTTCCAAAGTCAGCCCATTCAAATTGATGAGTGGTCTTAGGACTATGGGACTCCTTTCCCTCCTCTCCCCCAGAATACACAGTTGCACATAAAAAGTCTCTCAGTTGGAAAGGATTTTTGGGACAGCAAGTCTATGCTGTGGTGGAGAGATTAGAGGGTTTGAAGCAGTGCATGTGTGTCGAGGACGCCAAGTATAGGACTTGATTAGTTCTTAGCCTCACTCAAAAGGGTTCCTCAGCAAGACATGCTTGCTGTCAGAGTGATCTCTCCAGGGCCCTCCCCTGTTGAGCCGCTGGAGGGATCTCAGGCCTGCTGCCGGGTCCCTAGAGTCCAGGTGTAACAGTGGAGGCCAGAGGCAACTCACATGCCCAGTTTCTTCATCCTGGCCTCGGTGTTGGCTGACCCTCCCCCTTCGCATCTCCATTCAAGCAGTCCTACGGCACACCACGAACCCACTCTCACTCACCTCGTTATGTTCACTTAGGCACTGCCCTTGGGATCCACCTCCCCAAGACCTCGCAGTGACCTGAGTCTGGAAGGGCTGTGTGTGACTTACCGCCTGTTACTGCGCTTGGGGTCCCAGGACCGCGGTCGGTCCTTCCCATCTGCCAAAGAGCACGTCGCTCCGTGGCGGTCGGAGTGTAGGCGCTCCGACTGCAGCGGCTCCACTCTCGATGTCCAGCGCGCGCTACCCGAGGGGTCGGCGTCTCTCAGGCTGACGCGAGGGGGGGATTCACAGGAGCGACCAGCCGCGCCGCGGGCGCGCGCTCACCCGCGGGGTCCCGGATGCGCATCCTGACGGGGGCGGCTGCCGCCCGAGTGGCGACCGGCCGAGTCACGGGAGCGCGCGGGGCCGCAGGCGGGGCGCGCACCCGGCAGGGGCAGCCGCGGGGGAGGAGCGCCCGACCGCGCGCCCAACGGACCGAGCTGCAGCCGTGAGGTAACCGCTGCAGCGCGCGGGAGTGTGGAGGCGACGCCGCCGTCTCCTGTCCCGAGCGGTGTCTGAGGGGGGAAAAAGAAGAGGCGTCCGCGGCGGCCCGGGACACAGAGCAGGCCCTCCCGCCCCTCTCCTCCAGCCAGCATGAGGCGGACGCCGCCGCCCCTCAGCCCGCGCGCCGGGGATCCCGGGCGGCGGCGGCGGCGGGCGCAACCCTGAGCGCTCTGCGAAGCTCGGGGCGCCCTGAACGCGGAGGGCGCGGGGTCGGCGAGCGCCAGCGGCCACCCGCGGCCGCAGCCATGAGGAAGGACGAGCGCGAGCGGGACGCGCCAGCCATGAGGTCCCCGCCGCCGCCGCCGCCGGCCGCGGCCGCCTCGCCCCCCGAGAGCCTGCGCAACGGCTACGTGAAGAGCTGCGTGAGCCCGCTGCGGCAGGACCCTCCGCGCGGCTTCTTCGTCCACCTCTGCCGCTTCTGCAACGTGGAGCCGCCGGCGGCCTCGCTCCGCGCCGGGGCACGCCTCTCGCTCGGCGCCCTGGCCGCCTTTGTCCTGGCCGCGCTGCTGGGCGCGGGGCCCGAGCGCTGGGTGGCCGCGGCGGCCGGGCTGCGGACGCTGCTGAGCGCCTGCTCGCTCAGCCTCAGCCCGCTCTTCAGCATCGCCTGTGCCTTCTTCTTCCTCACCTGCTTCCTGACGCGCGCGCAGCGGGGCCCGGGCCGAGGCGCCGCGAGCTCCTGGTGGCTGCTGGCGCTGCCCGCCTGCTGCTACCTGGGCGACTTCGCGGCGTGGCAGTGGTGGTCGTGGCTGCGCGGGGAGCCGGCGGCGGCGGCGGCGGGCCGCCTGTGCCTGGCGCTGAGCTGCGTGGGGCTGCTGACGCTCGCCCCCCGCGTCAGGCTGCGGCACGGCGTCCTGGTGCTGCCCTTCGCCGGCCTGGTGTGGTGGGTGTCGTTCTCCGGCCTCGGGGCGCTGCCGCCTGCGCTCAGGCCTCTGCTGTCGTGCCTGGTCGGGGGCGCGGGATGCCTCCTGGCCCTGGGCTTGGACCACTTCTTTCACGTCCGGGGAGCCTGTCTTCCGCCGCGCTCGGCGACTACCGCGGAAGAAAAAGTGCCTGTGATCAGACCCCGGAGGAGGTCCAGCTGCGTGTCGCTGGGAGAAAGCGCCGCCGGTTACTATGGCAGTGGCAAGATGTTCAGGAGACCGTCGTTGCCCTGCATCTCCCGAGAACAGGTAGGGGTTCTTGGGCGAGCAGGGGCTGCTGAGAGGAGCGCGGGTGGACCGCTTGCGTGTCCCCGGAGCGGGAGCGCTGCTCTGGAAGCGCGTTGGCTCTCGGAGCAAAGCAAGGGGGCAGAACTGATGTTCTGTGCTGGAAAGGCTGCCCCCCATACAAGGAGCTCTTCAAAAGAGCAGAAACCACTGGCTTTTTTTTTAATCAGTGAGAGGAAATGAAATAGTGCAGTCTCCGACTTGGCTTATGCAGGTGGAGAGTTTTCAAGACTGACATGAGGTTTAATAGGTTGACTACTCCCACTTCGGACATACTAGGCTCCTACACATGGCATTTGGGTACCGTTTATCGGTTTGCTGTTAGTGAGGATGTCTGTCTGGAGGTGACCAGCACCCTTTAGAATGAGAGTACATGCAGATGTTCAACAGCACGGAATGGCGGTAACAGAGGACAGATGAGCGTTTTCATAATTAAAAGAACAGAACTGAACCTTGGAATTGAGACTTAAGTTAGACGAATAGACAGCAGTGTACACTAATGGATTACAATTTTTTTAACAGACTAACTCATGGACTTGTGTATTTCTTGCATAATTAGGAAAAGGTTTTAGCAATTTAACCTTTAAACTTAGTAATGTGTGGAACGATGCCCAAAACATTTCCTCCCCTACCCCCATAGACTTTCATATTTTTTTTTTAAGGAATTGGAATCATCACAAGGGAATGAACTTGTTTCTATAGCGTTGGGAAACCCACGCACGGCACCAGGAGATCCTTTATGTATAGCTACTCTATATTGAACATTTACCGAGTGCAAACACTTTATACTTATTGTTTCAGATCTTCTCAAGGACTGTGTTTGGTTGGGTGACGTTAACATAAGTTTGGACAGGCGTGTTATTGAAGCAGACAGGAAAGATGCAGGGCCAAAAAAGTGGCAGCATTAGGGTCTGACTAGATTTTGCAGTTCTAGGAGGTGTGTTCTATGCAACTTAGAGGGTAACTATAGGAGCTGTATGAAGGAATGTATATCTTTAGCTGTCAGATTTTGCTGATTAGTGATATTTTTCACACTGTGACCCAGTAGACGGGAAACAAACGTCTCTTGTTCTTTACACGTTTGAGGCACTGGTCTCTCTGTGTCTTGCGTTCTCTTCAAAATAATCTATGAGCCACTACATTGATTTTATGGCCTGCTAAACACCGATCTATGTATAGTATGTAGTGTTTCATGAGATATTTTTATGCTGTTTCTTGAGTTTTTTTTTTTTTTTTTTGAGACAGGGTCTTGCTTGTGTATTCTTGTTTGGCTCCCTAGGTGGGCCTTGAACTGGAGGACTCTCCTGTCTCCTGCTGCTGAATATGCCACTTTTGCCACTTTGCTTGGCCTTGGAGGCCAGTCTTGTGCTCTGTTATTATCTGGCCAGATGCTAGGAAAAACAAACTAGTTATACCTTTTGTCTTCTAAATTTACTACCAGCAATAAGAGACAATGTGTAGAAAAATGTTTATCAAATGAAAACTTGTTAGATGATTAGCTGTCTATCAGATGATGTCAGCTATTTTCATAGATTGGAATATACTTGACTTTTATGTGACTAGATTACATTTTTAACATTAGGAAAGTCTTTTAGCATAGTTTTTTATTACTTTTGTAGAGAAATTTAGGAAAATATTACAGTTTAAATATTTTGGTTGTAATTTGTTGGTAAGTTATGGACAGTTAGGTCTCTTATTTTGTAAGTTGGAAAAAAAATCTAGTCTTCTTTCCGTTCCCTTGCTATCAAAGCAACTTTTTTTTTTCAGTTTTTAAATGCAGTATTATTCCAGATAATGTCACTTATTATTTGTATTAGAAGAAAATACACTTTGTATTTGTAAAGACAGCATATTTTCTTCTAGAAGAAAACCCTTACTCAGTTTCTGCTCTTGAGTAGAAGCATTTTGAGCATCTAAAGTACATACTGACAGTTCAGAGGTTTGGACTTGGGTACTTACTGCCTAGTGCTTGCTTTGCAGTGATAACATTTGGGCATTTCTCGATGAGGGTATTTTTTTAACCTAGCAAATATTACAAGAATTTTTATTTATTCTGTTCTTGAAGTTTAACATGGAGGATTTGTGTGTTTGTGTGTGCTTTTGCATACATTTTGTGTTAGGAAGTTAAGAAATAAGTACTTTTATTGAAGTAGAAGATCAAGTGGTTTTTTTAATTGTTCAAGTGTTGTATTTGATAATTGTGAAAACATTTTTCTTGTTTCAGAAAGTGACAAATAAGAGTCTAGGTGAAACTTGACATAAAGGAAAATGATTTAGATTCACAGGCAGAGGTTCAAGGATCAAATCTTGGCCTTTCTGTTTAACTTCGGGGACATCAATGACCTTCTCTGTGTCTGTGCATCAGTAGATGAATTCTATAATATCTTCTGATTCTAAATTAATTTCATTTAGTGATTTTATGCTTTCAGTAGTATATACATAAAAGCATATGCAATCACAAATGAATAATTTTTAAAAAGTTTCATTTTAATATTTAAGGTTGTTGCTGCCATCCTATATATTTTTCAAGGTGTGGTTGGGGAAAAGTGAACAAAATTGCATTTTGGGTGAACATTCTTTTTAAAAGTGAATTCATTTTTGTAAAATTGTTGAAATATTTTCTAGAATTTAAATATCTTTATTAACATCTTTGAAAAATACTTGAAAATGCAAATCAGCATAAGTGTTTTTATTTACATGAGAAATAGAGTTAGGGTAATATTTGACTTTTTGGATGTTATATTAGGTCGAATGCTGAAAATAATGGCATGATTATAAGTATTTATGTTATATTTATAATAAAATATTGTATATATGTCAGTTCTTAGTTAATGTCCTCTTTTAAAAACTTACTTAGGAATTTAAGGTTAAAATCTATTGTTGACTATGTTCTTTGGAGGGTTAATAGAAGCAGTAAGTTTACAGTATGCTAAGAGTAGGCTGAAACTTAGAGGAAGTTTAAAAAAAACAACCAAAAACCAATTGTCTATATGAAAGCTATGACGGGAATTGAACAAGCTACTAGAATTGAACAATATTTCTGTCCCATTTCAATTATTTATTTTAGAATGTGGTGGTCAGCTTTGTAGCACTGCCCTTGCATGTGTGATTACTTAAATGTGAGGTTTAGAAAAAAGTTCGTGTGTAAGATATTTTTGTATACCTAAAATGTCAAGTGCTTTCTAAATTGTTAGGTAAATACTTAAAAATCCTGTGGCCTTAATGCTCATAAATACTATTTAAAGTGTTACTTTTATTTGAAAAAAAGTGTGTATATATAACGTGAAGACTTAAAAAAGGGAGTGTGATTATTTGATGCCCTAAATAATTTGTAAGGCATAACCCACTGTAAGTTTGTTTAATAATGTTGTAATCGTTTTGAAATTTATTTCATAGCTTCAGTAAGCATTTTAGTTTTATGTTAAAATTTGTTAGTGATAACAGCCTACAGGACAGTTTTTCTCCTCTTGTTTCTGTTGGATATATGCTGCCACCAGGTATCTTTCAAGAATAGATATTTGGTTAGGTTCCTCATTCTCTTAAAAAAAAATACTTAATGGCTTTTCATTATACAAAAGCTAAAGTTCATGCCCTTGACCATTGCTTGTAAACACCTTTGTAACCTGCTTTTAGTCCTTTTCATTTTTTGGTTTAAATTTATTATTATTTTAGGATTTGTGAATCACCTTCCCAGTGTTCATATTAGTTCTAGCTATTTGAGGGTTGCTTATTGTTAGTGAGCTCGTTGTAGCCTTTTTTTTTTTTCCTTTGTTTTCCCTTTCCTAATGGTTGAGTTCTCCTTTAGGGAATAAATAAGATTACGATATTTGGACAAATAACTGGCACTTAATATGTAAGTGGAGAACAAATCTCTACTGTTGCAGAATTGACCATCTCTAAGAATAAAAATTACTGTGGCAGAACATTTTAATTATATTGGATAGTAATATTTCTATAACATATTTTCATATATTGAGTGAAATTTGTTTTCATCGTCCTTAAGCTGACTTCCCCAGGGATGGGGCTCACCTCTCATTCCCTTTTCCTTTTTCCCTTTCATTACCAGGTCAGCCTGTTTCCTTAGCACACTCTCCAGGCTTTCTAAGTTCCTTCTAAAGCAGAGAGAATCTCCACATGCTGGAAAGCTTATTTTAGTGTAAATGTTCGTATAGATGATATTGGAGAAATTTAGAGTTTAATTGAAATCTCATTACATAGAAGGTAAAATAATTGATGCTCAGAAGAATGAAAAGATCGAGTCCAATTTATGATGTAAGATACTGTGAGAATGAGGCCTAGAACCTAGATAGTGACTTCTAGTCCACCTATACTTTTCAAAAGGAGCCCATTTACCTGCCTGCAGTCATCGTTTCTAAAGCTGTATTTAATTTTCCAGGAATTTTCAGTTATGTGATGAAGAGCAATGTCCTTAGTTACAGGAAGTCTGGGGAAATAGTGGGAGAGACAGGGGAGGGAGATTTAGGAGGGTGTCCTGATAATCAGAGTCCATAATAATGGTCTTGAAGATGAAATTTATATGTAATGTACCTGACTTGTCAGTGCAGCTCGTTCAGTGCCAGCCTCATATTGACTTTTGGGAGTGGGTTGAGTGAAGAGACAGTAGAGAAACAGAAGTGAGCTGACAGAGGCCTGCTGTGCCAGGATGCCTGCCATAGCTGAAGAAAACTTTGGGGAGCTGCATTCTGTCTGTGGGTGCTTCTTGACAGTTTATAACGTTGAGCTGCTGTTCACTTTATTATTACGAGCATGCATAGGGTTACATAGGGGTTCGTTAGAAGCCTGTTTTGGAAGACCTACCAAAAGTCAGAAAGAGTATATCTCCCAGTGTTTTTGTTTGGTTTTCTTCTTCTGTAACCTTGTTATCAGCATTGATTTTTCTAGGGGTTATTCTATCTTTATAGGTTTCTTCTCTTTGATCACCTGCAATAAATGTTTGACTAGTT